GATTAATTTCCCCTGTTAATTTTTGGAACTCTGCTAAAGTAGCCTCTTTGTCTAAAGGTGACCGTTCGTCTGGTCCAAATATTTTCGGGAAGTACTCTGGCAATAATCGTCCGAGGATTAAATTAGCATCGGTGACTGCTAAGTGACCATCTTTCTTATAACAGACTGGGCCTGGATGGGCACCGGCTGATTCGGGGCCAACCACGAACAAGCCAGATCTAAAATGATTATTGGTAATACTCGACTAAAAAGATTGTTCTACGCTAGTAATCTTGTTTACTTTACAAACTAGAAAGCTTATGGTACAAACATAGCAAACACCTGTGGTTGTTTTGGTAATGGTTCAATTCGATTGGTGAACGAGTGTTGATCACGGTGTTTCCATTAATATTTTGGCAGAAACGAAAGTTCTGTATGGAAATTGAAATTTTATATTGAAATACGATTTCGCATTAAATTTAAAACAAAACTCGAAAATTAAAGTACTTGGCCCCAAGCGCTTCCTCACCGGTAATGAGTCATTTTCCTGACTTGATAGGTAATTAACTATTCCTTCCCTGGGTCTGTAATTATTCTTTTGAATCAGTTAACAAGTTACTCCATGTAAGTGACGGATCAACACCATTTAATCAATGTACCTACCCACACAAGAAACTGTGGAAACATATAGAATCGGAATAGTCTAAAGAAACAGAAAAATACGTACAGTAGAAAAAAATCTGAAAAACAAGAAGAACGATCTAATAATACATTTCGGGCATCCGAAATGTTCGAAGCATTTAAGCAAGAGAATGTGAATGACATCGCAAGCATCCAAAAAAATTCGAGAAATATTAAAAATAGGAAGAACCTTTATGGGTTTGAAAAATCTGAAAAATCTGTAGAACTGATGGAAGAATCAAAGGATTTCAAAAAAACCTAAAACATTCGACAAACTTTAAGAATCTGAAGAATTTGAAGAATATACAAAATTTGAAGCAATGGAAGAATTCCACAGATCATATGAAGATTCTGATGGAACTAAAATATCTGATGAAACGAAACAATGGGTAAAAAGTCTCAGACAGAAGGAATC